GTTTTGGAGTTGGAATCTCACTCTATCGCCCAGGCTGGAGTGCAGTGGCACACTCTTAGCCACCCCAGAGTCAACTTGCTGAGCTCCGACGATCCTTCCACCTCAGCCTTCCAAGTAGCCAGAACTACAGGCATGCGCTACCACACCAGGCTAATTTTTAATTTATTGAAGAGACGAGGTCTTGCCAAGTTGCCCAGGCTGGTCTTGAATCCGCAGGCTCAGGAAACCCACACACCTTGGCCTCCCAAAGTGCTGAGGTTACAGGCTGAGCCACTGAGCCAGGCCAACTTCATGTTTTCAATGTCAAACCTTAGTCCTTCAGAACCAGGACTGAATGTGGATATTCCAAGGGCCCCTATGGAAGCAACTGGCACAGCAGAGGCTGTCCTAGGTCTTCCTCGCTCCAAAGTAGGAGAGGACAGAGAGGACTGAGATTGGTTAGACCTTTCATGAGAAGTGTTCATAGCCCCTCACCGCAAGGGCTCTGAATGATCCCAGGCCAGCTCTGGGGTATGGGAGTTTCCAGAACATAAAACTAAATAAAAATGCTTTAGCTCACCTGTTTTTCCCAATCCTTTTTAGTCCTGTTGCTCTACTTTCCCTCTTTTCAGTCCCTTCTTTAGAGACACAGTCTGAAGGGCCTCATCCACTTGGCTTCATGTGTCTGGAAATAGCCCTTTCTTCACATTCTCCTTGACTGAGGACAGTCTCCAGCCTAATTAGAAATAAAATCTTACCATTTCCCTGAGAGCTCTAGGTGGTGGAGGGGGAGAGAGTCAAGCCTCTAAGGAGTGGCAAAGAGAGAACCATCATGCTTTATTCATTCATTTGTTTGTTTATTTATTTACTAAAAATAGTCAGGGCCTCACTCTGTTGCCCAGGCTGGAGTGCAGTGGCACAATCACGGCTCACCACAGCCTCAACCTCCTAGATTCAGGTGATCGATCCTTTTGCCTCAGCCTCCCAAGTAGTGGGACTACCATGAGCCACCACGCCTGGCTAATTTCTAAATTTTTTGTACAGATGAAGTCTCAGTATGTTGCCCATGCTGGTCTTGAACTTATTTTTTTTTTTGAGTTGGAGTCTCACTCTGTCGCCCAGGCTAGAGTGCAGTGGCAAGCTCACAGCCACCGCAGCCTCTACCTGCTGGGCTCAAGCGATCCTTCCACCTCAGCCTTCTAAGTAGCTGGAACTACAGGCGCACACCACCATGCCCAGCTAATTTTTTGATCTGCTGTAGAGACAAAGTCTCGCTATGTTGCTCAGGCTGGTCTTGTAACCCTGAGTCAGGCAATCCTCTCGCCTCAGGCTCCCAAAGTGCTGGGATTATTATTATTATTTTTTGAGTTGGAGTCTCACTCTGCCGCCCAGACTGGAGTGCAGTGACCGCTCCCGGCCACC